CTTTGAATATGCACATTAAAATTCAATGATTACTGCTAATTATACGACCACCTTAATCATCTGTTCTTCAATGTACTCATTTCGTCAGTTTGCTATGACTGAATGAGGAGAACGTATTTCAACCACTCACTTTTCCGTAGGCAACCGTTGTGGAGGCCATATCCAATAAAAATGAATCGCCATCAGCGGCCGGAGCACCCATACATATCGGATTCGAGCCGAGCGCCTTCTCGCACGATCGAGTGGGAAAAACGCACGGTGAAGTGTTTGTAAATGCCATTCCCTATTGCAAAAATCAACTCTTCAGTAATTTTCTGATTTCTGATGACATCGAAGTTCAGATGACACAATTATACGAAGTAAGTTTCAAGAAATGATTTCGGATGAATTCCGTGAATATTAAATATCCGAAACGTAGTTGAAGTGGCCATCAAAGGCCTATTGCTGATTCTTAAAATTTGAAAAAAAAAAACTATTTGCGTATTTGACCTTTAGCAGACTAACTGCATCATCACAACTTAATGAGAATGGAATACCACGAAAAAGATCTCATCAAACCTACAATCATTCCAGCTTTCATCGCCTGCATCGCATACCATCCGGCAATACCGAAATGATTCGAGTTTCTCGTTACCACCCATCCGATGCCCACCTCTTTCGCCATATCAATGGCCAGTTTCATGCAAAAGTTACCAACAACAGGACCCAACAAATTTGCACCGTCCACCCATGCTGTTGCGCCTTTCTTTTTCAATATCTTTGGCTCACCTACAATTTAGAAAACGATTAGTGTAAAATCTGCATCCTATAAGAAAGCGCGTTCCCTTTTTGTGCAATAGTCTTCGCATCTACTTTTACTAACGGGTAGTGATGACGTTTGACCGATGATCGGTCGGAAGAATCCTACAATTTCGATGGGAATTCCGATATTTAGATTCCGATCGAACAATTTGGAAGGTCGTTCCTAATTCTGACTGCCGGAAATTCAAAATGTCAATTCGTTCGGATTCCCACCGAACCATTCTAATAGACGGTCGAATTGATGAAAAGGTCGGTCGGATTCCGAGCCACATGAAATTTCGCTCGGGTGTCATCACTACTAATGAGATGCTCTATTTTGAGATTATGTGTATAACAAGCACCACCAAAATCACTCCCTTACACTAATAGAATTATTTGATTTAACGAATATGTATATTTATATTTGCGCAAAAAATTTTTTGCATATTCATAATCAGCCATACGAGCTCTACAATATGTGGTATATATCTGGTCTCGAAACGTGGAAGTAAGTTCGTGAGTATGATATGAATTGAAGTGCTATAGCACTAAAAAGTGCAATGTGGTAATCGTCGAACACGGAATGTACCTTCAACAGCACACGCTCCACTAACGATGTCATTGATGTAGACNTCCTATAAGAAAGCGCGTTCCCTTTTTGTGCAATAGTCTTCGCATCTACTTTTACTAACGGGTAGTGATGACGTTTGACCGATGATCGGTCGGAAGAATCCTACAATTTCGATGGGAATTCCGATATTTAGATTCCGATCGAACAATTTGGAAGGTCGTTC